AAAGACTGGTGCGAGATGATGAACCTGTCTCTCCTCTCATATGGTAGGGAGACAGGTTCATTGACTACCTATAAGACATCAACACGCGCAATCCTTCGACCTCAATGGACGCCTTGTGACAGACCCCGGAGATCTTCTGCTTTCTTTCATCGACTGTCTCTATCTTGAACAGGTAAGACCTGTCGAGGTCCAACCCTAATCGCACAACGAGCTCCTCATCTATGATGACAGCTTCGCTGCCATTGTCAATCACCGCATGGAGGACGACGTCGTCGTTGAGAATGGTCTCTACTGTCCCACTCCCTAATATGTAAAACTTGTCAGGAGGCACACCTTCCATTCCATTTAAATACACTGTTGTTGCGCGCTCTGTCTTCGTGCACACCCTCGATACCGCCACCGAGGGTACCTCCGATTTGAAAGTTATCTGGACTTCGTCTCCCAGAGGAATACTCGTCTTGCGCGTGATCATCTGTAGCTCATCCCGCGCGGGTCTCAAAGCCGCCAAGTACTCAAGTGTCGTGCACTTCATTGGTTGCCTAAGCGCGCRTCTGAGAGGCTCTACTGTATCGATATCGTTCAAGGTGCTCTTCATAGTAAACTTCCGGGCCCCACGCTTACGCGGCGAAAGTACAACTTCCTCTCTTTCAATCCTCTGCTCATCCTTCTCTGGCATCACGTAATCCGTGTCAGCCTTCTTAGAGGACGACGTCCTTGCAGACTTAGTCGTCGCTACCCGTATAGGTGTCGTCGGCGCCCCATTATCCGAAGGCAAACTAAATCGCACACTCTGGCTCCTTGCCACCTCTTTACCCTTACTTGGTCGTACACGCCTGGCCTCAACGTTCTCCTTCATCGAAGGGAACATTGACACGTCCCCAAGATTATCTGCCCACTTGACGTATTTGCGATCATCAAGTACAACAAGTCCTTCTTCTATTGCTCGCCTGAGGCMAGGACAGTCCGTCTCCACGTGATCATCGGCCCTGCAATAGATGCAGGAATTCCTAGGAGTACGGGGTCGCTCTTCGGTGCTCCTAATAGCTGGTCCTCTTGCGGGTCTGGCATCTTGGGTGGACAGTCCTGGGGACTTGGGATAGTTAGGAGACTTTGGATACCCAGGCGACGCAGGATACCCTCCTYGATCAGACTGCCCGCGCTGGTCTTCCCGGCGACCTCCACCTCGCTCTGTCCTCTCGTATCCACCACGACGATCCCTGTTGGATTCCCATCTGTCGCGGGAATCATCTCTATCC